TTTATTTATTTATTGTAGAGATGAAGTCTCACAAAGTTGCCCAGGCTGATCTCAAACCCGTGGGCTCAGGCAATCCCCTCACCTCAGCCTCCCAAAGGCGCAGGATTACAGGCTTCAGCCACCACAGCCAGCCTTCTGGCTAATTTTCAAATTTTTTTTTAGATACAGGTGTCTCTGGGTTGACAGGCATGAGCCACCATGCCCAGGCTTCCCCACTGTTTAAATTCTAAAGACAACCCAGAATGCGGGCCTCCCTAGTGAAACTGAGGCAAAGAGTCTGAAGTGATTGTTCTCAACCTGGAGCGATTTTGTCCCACAGGGAACACCTGGCAATGTCTGAAGACTTTTTTTTTTTTTTTTTTTTTTTGAGTTGGGGTCTCATTCTGTCGCCCAGGCTGGAGTGCTGTGGCATGATCATGGCTCACCACAGTTTCAACTTCCTAGACTCAGGGAATTTTCCACCTCAGCCTCCCGAGTAACTGGGACTACAAGCACATGCCACCATGCCCAGCTAATTTTTTAATTTTTTTGTAGAGATGAGATCTTGCTATGTTGCCCAGGCTGGTCTCAAACTCCTGGGCTCAAGGAATCCTCCCACCTCGGCCTCCCAAAGTGCTGGGAAGACAAGTGTAGAGCCACTGCACCCAGCCTTGGAGACAGTTTTGATGGTCAGGACTCTGAATGGAGGGAAACATATTGACATGGAGAGCATGGAGGCCAGAGTTGCTACCTGAGGTTGGGAAACCCTGCCCTAACTCCCTTGCCCAGTTGAGACACCAAGAACAGGTGTCTCTATCAGCTTGGGCCACCACAACGAAACACCACAGATTGTGTGGCTTAAACCACAGAAATGAACTTCTCACAGTTCTGAGGCTGGGAGTGCAAGGTCATGGTGCCAGCAGGGGTGGTTTCTCCCAAGGCCTCTCTCCTTGGTTTGCAAGCAGCTACCTTCTTGCTGCATGTGCACCCCTAGAGTCTCCTCCCCTTCTTATAAGGACACCAACCAGCCGGGCTCGGTGGCTCAGCCTGTAATCCCACGCTTTGGGAGGCTGGGGTGAGTGGATTGCCTGAGCCCGCAGGTTCAAGACCCGCCTGGGCAACTTGGCGAGACCTCATCTCTACAATAAATCAAAAAATTAGTGGGGCATGGTAGCGCGTGCCTATAGTTCCAGCTACTTGGAAGGGTGAGGCGGAAGGATTGCCGGAGCCCAGCGGGTCGAGGCTGTGGTGGCCGGGAGCAGCCAC